GCAAGATCTCCTTTTGCACTAGCACAGAAACATGGCATCCATACTGATGTATAAGCAGCACTTTCTGTGGAGACTGGATTCATACATTGGAAAAGTTGAAGATCTTGGGAAACGAATATTTAGAAGTCAATTTCAGAGAAAAATAAGAAAACAATCAAGACCAAACTTGTATTCATGAACAAAGAAAGTCACATGATATAAAATAACTTGGGATTTTGTGTTTCTTAATACTAAACTAGAAAAAGAATACATTGAGCCACCAGTAAAAGTAAACATGAGGGTAAAAACAGTAGTTTAACAATGATTAATGAAAATGCAAATGTTTGTGCTTTCTTTGAATGGGAACATAAATCTGAAGTCAGAAAGAAATCTTAGTATTACTTGATGCACTGAAACAACTGGACATTTTCAAAAATAAACCTGGGACAAAACCTGATTTTGTCACTTGTATTAGGCAGAACTAGAACTTCTGTGAAGTTTGATCAGATCATGCACACATATACTGACTCAAAATTATATTTTAAAAATTTGCCAAAGATAGTCTTTAGTAACATAATAATTTTTACATAATTACCATAAGATTCATTGAAAGTGTTAACATTTTCACTTGCCCAAAATGACAAAGATAAGGTGATTTTAAAAAATTAATGTAGGGCAAAACTTCCTCTTAACCTTAAAGATATAGCCAGGTCATTGTTAAAGGATGATGGAATGCCTTCTCACATTAAGGAAATGGATCTTTCTATCATCATCGCTCACTAGCTTACAAAGAGTGTCTTCAGTAGAGTGAAGAAACAAAAATCTATTCCAGAGAGCAGGTTTCCTCTATTACCTTGAGGGGAAAGCCCTGTATCTGCTCCCAGAGTTGAGCTACATATGCAGGGAAATAGTGGATATAGAAAATGGCCTAGCTTTTTAAAGATCTAAACCAAATTCCTGGAATTCTATCCAGAATCAGATGACTGCCCATATTTTCCTTTAGCTACTTCTCTGCTGACAGGAACAACTGCAGAACACAGAAGAAATGTGCTTTAGGATAAGCGTCCTGCAGTCATGCGTAGGCCAGAAAAGTTTTTTTAAAACTCTTTTTTAATATTTAGTTTTTAGTTATAGGCAAACACAATATTTTTTATTTTAATGTGGTGCTGAGGATCGAACCCAGTGCCTCACACATGGTAGGTGAGTGCTCTACCTCTGAGCCACGACCCCCACCCACAGAAAAGTTTTTAAAGGGTTCCAAATGTAGTTAGTGCTGAACAAATCTTAAATAGGAATACCTGTTTGCAATATTAGCAGGCAAATAACCCTTCATTTCTATAGAGAATATGTTGATTATTTCTCACACTTTGAAACCAATTTCCTTCATGATTTTTCCATTTCTTTTAGTGTCAGCAAAACAATATAGTGGTTTAGAGTGTAAACACTGGAATAATAAATAATAAATAAACACCTGAGTTAGAATTTGGTCTCCAGCAAGTCATCTATACCTCAGAAATTCAGTTTCTTCATTTAATGAAACATGGTGTGTAATAATACGTCTCTCAGAGTTGTTGTGCTAAAGAGCAAATGACATTATCAGTTTAAAGGCCTTCATACAGAAATCTGGTTTTTGATGTTCCTTAAATGGGTAGTAATATTATCAAGGGCACCACCTTTTTTTCCAGTAATTCAAAATAAAAGTATTTTCCTAATTTTTCTCCTTCATGTAACTTATGCTAGCACTGAGTCTTTTAAAATATGACTTTGAAACCTCTTTGGATGATGTCCTTTAATTTATAGTATCTCAATCAGTCATTAATATAGTCTACTACCTCTCACCTGGAACATATAAGAGTGTCTCCTAACTGGTTTCACAATGCATTTACTGTCAGAATAATATTCATAAATAGATTGGTAGGTGTGAAGCCATTGCAGGTAAGGTAAGGATATAATTATTCCCAGCAGCATTGGGGGCAGGTGGAACTACTATGGTGGTTTGTAGAATTTCTTGCCCCAATCCACAGAATAAGGACAGTGATCTGACTATAAATACTGAATAACCTATGACAAGTGTGCTATTTCCATTGTTACAGATTGCTCTATAAGGACAAAGCTATATCTGCTTTACTCAGCATTATATTCCCATGCTGACCACAGTAAAATGCACATAGTACATCCTCAGTAAAAATTGATGTTAATAAATTAATTAATGAGTGAAATGGTATTACAGATGCCCCTAATAACTTTAGCTTTGTGTGACCAAAGCTGTGGTAATTTCTGAAGATTATTCAAACACGATTGATATTGTTGCTTGGCATTTGATAGCATGCCATGTTCCATTCAGCCCCAGTTGTGATAATTTAGTCATCATCTGCTATGCAAGAACAGGAAAGTCATTTATAAACTTGCATAGTGTGCATTCAGACATTATTAACAATGTGAGCTGGAATTGGCATGGCAGCCAGATCTCCACAGTTTCCAAGACAAAAAAGTGATAGAAATTGATTCTAAGAAACAAGAAGTTGTTGCTGAGAAGGACATAATAAAAGAAAAAGCTTAGTCAATAAGAACCATTTTTTTTCAGTAGACATATGTTCACTACTACTTCAATCCAATGAGCAGGTGGCAGATTATGTTTTGAAATTCAAAAGGAAAAAGAGGAGCTGGGGTTGTGCTCAGTGGTAGAGTGCTTGCCACCTCACATGTGTGGCACTGGGTTGGATCCTTAGCATCACATAAAAATAAATAAATATATTTTAAACAAAGGAAAAAGAAACATGTAGGAAAAATATTGCCATTCCTGAAATGGATATTAACAATGGGTGTTGTTGTTACTCTATGATCCCAACATAGGTTTACCATGTACATATGGAGAGGGAAATAGTGGTACCTGCCAACTTTGCTGAGGCTGGCTTTGAACTCGCAATCCTCCTGCCTCAGCCTCCTGTGACACTGGGATTACAAGCCTGTGCCACTATGCCCAACTCACAAGACTATGTCTTAATCATATATGTCTAATAGCAGCAAAGATCTTTCAGAGAGGTAGGGTTGGCATTCCCGTTCAAATGGCTAAATCCTTCAAAATTCACAATAGAAGTTAGATATTGATGTATGTGACTAGAAGTTCGACCTTTTTTCAAGAATACCAAAATCCAGACACTATGGGATCTAAGTCTAGAAGCTAAAGGATGTTTGAAGCATAAAAATAAAATAGATAATTCCCATAAGCTTGAAAAATAAGTATGTCACAGACCAAAATAAGAATTCTAGGATAACCAACCAGTTCACTCTCCCATACTTTTCTGAATAATTTAAAAGGTATTTCCTTCTGTGTTATCACACATGATCTTCACAGCAGCAGAATGCAGCAGAGGAAAGGGCAGCCTCAGGAGATTAGGAGAATTATTCAATGTTACATACCCAGCAACTGATCATTTATTGTCTTGGTTGTGAACAATGTGTGGATCTATTCTACTGAAAAAAAAAAAAAAACATGGAAGTCATCTGTTTCTCCTATGTGACGCCATTGGAGGGAAGATAAACTAGATCATATGTTACTATCTTAACCAGGACCTTTCACTTAGTATATAATGTGTAGGAGCAACCATTTATCTATCCTTGTGGTAAGGATCACAGAGCCAGATGGGTACAGATTCCAGTTGTCGTAAAGGTGATGGCAAACAGAAGGTAACTGTAAAGAGAAACATCCCAGGAAGTTGAGATTCCCTTTGCCTACACTGAAAGTTGCCTGAACAAATGTTAAATTATAATAGACAGAATTGAGCAAGAATAAGTGAAAGAATGTAAGATGCCAAAGTTGCTAAGCAAACTCAAACTTCCTGTTTTATAAGGTTCTGGCCCTATGTAAGACACAGGCTCCTCACTGTTTCCCTCCATCCACCTTCCCATCTGTGGCCTATCTGAAGGCTGTCTTCACAAAGCTCCCACAGTGGAGACAGGAGAGGGCTTCAGAGTCAAGGAAACCTCAGTGGGAAAAACTCCAAGTTGAAATTTCTTGGACTGAGGATTAGTGACTCTTAGTATATTCAAGTGCTTTTAGTTAATTAGAAGGGTAGATGGGGAATTCTCTAACAAAAGCTGTGTTTTATTATGTTTTGTTGGGGTTTATGTTTTGTAATGCCATTCCCTTCACAAAGCAGTCCCTCTTCTGTTTTCTGCAGCAGGATTATTTATAAAGCCTGTACGACTAACTCCCAATCACCACCATCTGCAGACTGAATTTCACCTGGTGAAATTCTCTATTAATGTCACCAATCTGGGAGAACTGACTATAAAGAAGTAGCTTGATTACACTAAGCAATCCTGTAAGTATTCCAATAATAATTTCTAACTTGTCCCCTCTGAGATTATTGGTCCCTTCCCCATTAGCAGATGGCTAAATTTTGTATTCCCCACCTCCCTAAACACATAGGTACACACACATTTCTGCTTTTTTCCCTGAAGGTTTCACAGCTGGTGGCTGAAGAGAAACAAGCTCTGGGCTGAGAATTTACTCTGGTTTCCCTTACTTGGGAGAGTGAAAAGGTCTGGATTATTTCACGGATTCATTATGAGCTTTCTACCCTGCACTGTATCTCAATCATGTTCTTTCCACAAAATGGGGAGATGGGGGGCAGGAGCCCCATTTTTCTGATTTAGGTAGGGAAATTAAAATTACAAAAAAAAATGCATGAAAGACAAAAATATTGTTGAAAATTAACTAAGTAACTATACGCTGGCTTCTAGGTGTTCTTGAAATGGAAGGCATTATTATAAAGGTGCAGAACAGTCGTGGAACTGTGTGCTCTTGGGCTTGTGTGGTTGCGGAGCTGTGGAAGCTTGGGTTGGTGCCAAGTTAAAATCCTGAGCTCCGCAGGGGGCCAGGCCCAAGTTTAGGAAAACAGAGTCAGAATCAGGGGCTATTGTGGTCTGGACTGAAGCAGAAAGACACCACACTGCAGGCTTCCTTCCTGTCTTGCTCTTATCTAACAGTGCAGAGGTTGGGTGGGTGCATGCCTGGGGTGCAGGTGAGGCACGTCTAGCTGGAGCCAGCCCTAGGCTCCACTTCCCCTTCTTTTCCCCAGTGTTAACTCCCCACCCGCTACCCCCTCCTCTCCAGCTCCTGGGCCCCCTCCCGCTCCTCCCTCAGCACCTCCCTGTGCCCGCCCACGGTCTCCCACCCAGCTTTGGACTGCGTCATAAGTATCCTCAGACCTGGACTTGCAGCAGCTTAGGCAGACTGGGGAGAAACTAGGTGCTGCTTAGGCAAGCGCGATCTTCTCCTCTTCCAACCTGCAGCCCAGGACGCTGATTCGAGCCGCGCCTTACCGCGCAGCCCGAAGATTCACCATGGTGAAAATCGCCTTCAACACCCCCACAGCGGTGCAAAAGGAGGAGGCACGGCAAGACGTGGAGGCCCTTGTGAGCCGCACTGTCCGAGCTCAGATCCTGACCGGCAAGGTAGCTGTACCCACTCTGCCCCTGAATGCCTGCTGAGGTCTGGAATGGGGGGACGGGCGGTGAAGGGGAAACGTGGAAAGTGGGCAGGTGGCAGAGAACAAAATGCAGGCTGTCCCACAGCCCCTGTATCCTGGGGGAGGCCCTTCTGCAGGATCCGTCGAGTTTGCGGGGTCACCCCGGTCTGTCTAACCGCGCCACCTTCTGCCTGCAGCAACCCATTGCGCTTTGATTCCCCGCAAGTTGCGCCATGTTTCCTCAGGTCCAGCCCACGCCGCCCTATCCTAGAGGAAGTATGGAGAGAGTTTGAAAAAATCCTCTGGGACTTGATGCCATCTTCTCTTGGGGAACGGGTCGGGGGTTGGGTATCACGGAGAGGCACGGCACCCTGTCATCAGCTCCAAGGACTCATAGCCTCCACAGAAGCAGAGAAGACACGCAGGGTGGTGATCACTGGTCAAGAGACTTAACTCTTTTTTCTTTCTTTTTGGCGTGGGTGAAATTACTGAATCCAAGTCTTTCTAAATTCTGTTTGTGGAGGTAGGATGATGGCAAAAGGCAGCTTGAACTGTGAGCTGTGAGTTTGGGCAAAAGTGCACCTACACAGGAGCTCCCATTTATTTTCAGTTTTTCCCTGGTCACAAGCGGCGTTAAGCATTGGGTAAAGGAGCTGTCAAAACTTAGGTTGGTCTTAATCGGAGTTTTGAGTGTTCACTGTGCCCTCTTACTGTAAGAATCTTACATGTTTTTGAAGTGATGTTTCGGTAAGAAAACACTCTTCTATAAAAATAAAATTTAGAATACTTTTTAAATACCTTTTCCTGTTAGTTTTTTTTTTTAACTATATCCCACTTCCCTCATAGAAATCTGAAGCAGGTCCAATGTTGTAATTTAAAATCTTAACTTTGCCAGAAACTCGAAAATCCACCCCCCACCGGAAAAAAAAGGCTAGACTTTATTCATTTAGTCAGATTTCTGTTTGCTTTAGACACCTACCATATTTGCACATTGGTAAATACTCCTCCTTTTCCTCAGTAAAAATTTTAAAAGGCAATCCTATTTTTTTCTGATTCTGTGAAATGTGCAAAGTGTGAAGCTTGCATATGTGTCCTAACTTGCTGTGTTCTGTTTATAAAGTCTTAACTTTTTTATTCAGAGTGGAGATTGAAAATGGCTTTGAGTGAAATGAAAATCCATGTAGTAAAACCTTGATTATGCACTCAATTTGAAATTTTAGTGTGTGTATGCAGAAGTTTTGATCATGGAAACTCAATATTTAACCCTGCAATTAAAAAACTGTGTATTATACATGTTAGAATTCAAAAGAAACATTCCGTTGTGTTGTTGAGGATTTTATTAAATGACAAAGTAAAATATGTAGTTGTCCTTCTGCTAACTTTGTAAGCATAACATGGCCAAATTTGGGGTGGGGCAGTTTAATTAGATACCAGTATGTAAATATAGCCACAAAGAACTTTTTCCCTTATCATCAAAAACATCATAATTTGTAGATAGATTTATAACAGAAGTAATACTTCTGTCAGACCTGTGGTGTAATGAGGAATAAACAAAATTGAGCCTTTCCACTTTGATTATATTATTTGGTTTTGTAGAAGTTTCCATAGGATTCTAATCTGGCCATTATAGGGCAATAGCAATAATAATTGCCACATTACATTGTAGTATACTGATCAGCCAGATAATCAGGTTAAGAATAGTGGAATATTGTGTTGTAGATCATGTAAAATGACTTCAAAATACAGTTCAGAGAGAGATTGCCTAAGGCAATTGATGGCCTCCACCATCCTGAACTGCAACAAATTTAAATGAAAACAAAAAATCCTTATTCCTACCAAATAATATTCTATAACTTTGAGACTCTGATACTTAAAACCTACTTAAGAATAAACTTCCTGAGTTATTGGATAGAGAAATGAAGTTGCAATGCAAAGCGTTCTTTTCACATCTCCAGAGCAAGGACAAAAGAACTTCACTCCTCTGATAATTTCAAATTGCGTGGATATGAGACTTACCACAAGCTACTTCATTTTTCTTGGCCTAAATTTAATTATTTAAACTTCAGTGATTCCCAAACAAAATTTAAAGTTCTGTCTTTGTGGTGTTAATCTTAGTTTATATCTTAATAAGAATAATTATAAGTTTCTAAAAATTATTGGGATACAGCAAGGACTTCAAGGTTTATAGAACATTAATGGAGATAATGAATTTAAATAAATTTAGCCTAGAAAATGTGAATCTGAAATTTCGAACTTGTAAAGGAAAACTTTTTTTTTTTTTTAAATAACATCAAATGGCTGGCTGCCCTTATTTCTCTACATTAAGTTCACATCTATGCATTTATTTTAACCATATTAATTTAAGCCTAGCGCACATAAATATTTCAGTTGTCATGAAAAAGAGTTAATGACAGAAAAATTGAAACAATTCTATTTACATATCAGTCTGAGTGATTTATTCCTGAGTTATCAGGGTCCAGATTTGCTGACTTCATTTATTCTACCCTTGAATAATAATGCTGCTTAGGAACATATTATGGCACACAGGAAAGAGACTGAAAGGTCCTCTGGTTCACTGCCCTAGGAACAGTACAGTTAATCAGTTACTTTTTTGCGTTGGATATTTCTTGTTCCAACTCCTAAGCAAATTATTGATTTAGCAGAATTTTTAAAAGTCCCTGTTACACAGTTGGCTTTTGTGTCTAGCAATGTTATACTTTTTTATTTATTTTTTAGTTGTAGGTGGACACAATATCTTTATTTTATTTTTATGTGGTGCTGAGGATCGAACCCAGTGCCTCATGCATGCTAGGTGAGTGCTCTACCTCTAAACCACAACCCTAGCCCCGTAGCAATGCTATACTTTAAAATCTATTATTGAACCCAGAACATGAAAAGCATTATCTTATTCGTGCAATACACAGCTGTAGAGTAACTGGTGATATTAGGAAAGTTTGCGTTTCTTGAAAAAATTAGGAAAATTGGGAAGTATATCTCTGTCTTCAATATTTTAAATTTGAAAATAAGGGGAAAAGGCATATACCTATATTATAGAACTCCTTTCTTTAAAACCAAATTTTGAAAAAAAGCAGCTTTTAAAAAATTAGTTAATAAATCAAAGGGTATTATTTCTCCTTTGATTTTACAAATAAATTTGTTTACAAAAAATTAAAAAAGCATAACTGAGAAGTATGTGATTATATCACTACACAAGTCCAAGAGATCACTACCTCCATTTATTTAAATGACAAACATAATATCTAGAGATCAAGCTGTGCTAGACTGGGCCTATAGTTAACAATGCTATATTGTGCATCAAAAATTTGTTAAGAAAGTAGATATCAGGGCTAGGGTTGTGCCTCAGTGGTAGAACACTTGCCTAGCATATGTGAGCACTGGGTTCAATTCTCAGCACCATGTATAAATAAATAAAATAAAGGTCCATTGACAACTAAAAAAATTAAAAAGAGTAGATATCATGTTAAGTGCTTTTTAATAAAAAGAGAATATAACATTACATAAATGAATGTTTATATTAACATATTTCTAGCAGTTTATATTTGGAAAAAAACATTCTACTTGTATTTGGGGTTGGAAATGCCCAAAGTAAAGTTAATATAATTGAAGATATTTTCACATTTATTAGATTTCAGAAATTGTCTTAAAATGGTTTTAGACTAGGATGACTTAATATTATTTTTAGATATCTTGGGTTTTAAGGGAGGTAAATTATATATGAAAGCAAATGTCTAAAAATGATTTTTATCTTTTTTTTTTTTTTTTTTTTTTTGGTTTTGCCTCTTAATAATTAGGAGCTTCGAGTTACCACCCAGGAAAAAGAGAGCTCGTCTGGAAGATGTATGCTTACTCTGTTAGGTCTTTCATTCATCTTGGCAGGACTTATTGTTGGTGGAGCCTGCATTTACAAGTACTTCATGCCCAAGGTAAAAATAATTATCATTCTTATACTTTGAACTACTAATGGCTATACATTTAGTATCAACCTAAATAATTCTGTGGCGATCACCAGAGAAATGAAGACATAAGGAAAAATTTCAAAATGCCTTTCAGTCCATAAAATTAATTTGTCCTCATAGTGATAACTGTCATCAACAAGCCTTAGTTTAGCACACAGTACAATGAATTGATTTGAATTGAACAAATGATTCAAATATCATAACAGCTAGTATCAGAAGATTTAAATTTCCCCATTTTGCCTTTCAGAGCACCATTTACCGTGGGGAGATGTGCTTCTTTGATTCCGAAGATCCTATAAATTCCCTTCAAGGAGGAGAGCCTTACTTCCTGCCTGTGACTGAGGAGGCTGACATTCGTGAGGATGACAACATTGCAATCATAGATGTGCCTGTTCCCAGTTTTTCTGATAGTGACCCTGCAGCAATTATTCATGACTTTGAAAAGGTAGGTTTGCCATTCTTAGAGGTATTTATCATTTTGAAATAAAGCCTTTGTTCTTTTATTAATGAATGTACATTAGTTAATTTTGGAAATATGTAACTACTTGCTCTAATGGTACCCGGGGAAATCAGCAGTGTTGATACTTGGGTATTTCACCTATATAACTTTTTCCCCTTCCCCAACAGGGAATGACTGCTTATCTGGACTTGCTTCTGGGAAATTGCTATCTGATGCCCCTCAATACCTCAATTGTTATGCCTCCGAAGAATCTGGTGGAACTCTTTGGCAAACTGGCGGTATGTATTTTGGAAGTCAGTCAATTCTTTCTATAAGCATTCCCAAATAATTTTGCTTCCTGATTCTGAAAATTTGAGTCAGGCCAAAGAATTCTGTTTTGTTGAAATAATTTTTGAAAAAACAACATGCTGAGACGAAATGGATTGAATTGGAGGATACTGTGTTCAGCAATATAAGCTAGACAGAAACATAAGTACCTTGTTTTCTCTCTGATATGTGAAAGCAAAACCAAAAAAAATGACCTGAATGTAGAATAGTGATTAATAATAGTTGGGAAGACTGTAGGTTGGTAGATAAAAGGAAGTTGGATTTGATCACTACACACAGCATGTCTGGAAATGTCATACTGAATCCCATTAATATATACAATCAATATGTGATAAAATAATCAATATCTGATAATCAAAATGAAATAGAAAAGCATACTGTGACCCTAAAACTGTTCTAGAAAATAAAGTATTTTTTAAATTACATCTGTTGTAGGTAGGGATTTTAAGAACTTCTTTAAAAATTTCTCGTTACAATCTTATTTTTTTTAAATTTTAGAGTGGCAAATACTTGCCTCACACTTATGTGGTTCGTGAAGACCTGGTTGCTGTGGAAGAAATCCGTGATGTTAGTAACCTTGGCATCTTTATTTACCAGCTTTGCAACAACAGAAAGTCCTTCCGCCTTCGTCGCAGAGACCTCTTGCTGGGTAGGCATTTTATTCCTTCCTTCATCCTGTGTTATAAGACAGTGGAAGATAGTGTAGAGGATATGGGAAAATGGAGAGGAAGTCTAGATATTTTTGCATATTCACAAAATTTCAAAAACCACTTTTTTGTGCATTTCCTCACAGGTTTCAACAAGCGTGCCATTGATAAATGCTGGAAGATCAGACACTTTCCCAATGAATTTATTGTTGAGACCAAGATCTGTCAAGAGTGAGAGACAACAGAGAAAGAGTATCCTCGGTAATAAGAAGTCAGAGATTTACAATATGACTTCGAAATTAAAGTTTATGGGATACTCAAGATATTTACTCATGCATTTACTCTATTGCTTGTACTAAAAAAAAAGGAAAAAAAAAACTACTAACCACTGCAAGCTATGTAAAATTTTACTTTAATTGGCACAGCTTGTTGTTTGAAACTGAAATCACATAATTATTATCCTTTTTCTTTTGAATTTATAGGGTTTAGATTTCTGAAAGAAGCATGAATGTCAGCTAACATCTTGACAATAAATTCCATCATCTGTCCTTATTTAAAGCAAGCTCTTCACACAATGATATGTCAGAGTGTGCTTTAAATTCAAAATATTTAAAATTGTTTTTGATGTTTTTGTGTAAAGCATGTCAAATCTCTTAACATTTTTTTGTTTTGTTTTCATTTTGTGAAACTTTCCTGAATTTAGAAGTTACATATTTGCATTTCTGTTAGGTGCTCTACAATGACTTATATGTGAACAACTTTATGAGTAAGTCATTTATCACTAATTCAGTGATTGTTTCTCACTGATACCTGTATCGTGAAATCCACAAAACTGTATAGGTGCTCAATGCTGTAAGGAGTTTAGGTTGTATGAATTCTATAACCCTATAATAAATTTTTACCATATTTGATCATTGTTTTATTTTCTTACATTTCTTCACTTAAGGTATACTTAATGTGAAAATTTTTTATGTGTTTAATGTTTGTGTATTCTGCAAACAGACCTAAAAATATAAATCTAATTCTGCCTTTATTCCCAGCTCCACATATAATCCCATATTTACTCCTTTTTATATTATATCATTTTAATTTTCATAAATATTCTATAATTAATTTATTACATAAAACAAATATTTATTTACAAGCTCCAGATCCATAGCAATTTAAAAATTTTAATGATTTTCCTTTTTCGTAAAAACACAAAAAATGATAAACAGTTATGACAGGTTATTAAAGATAAATTTCAGATAAGATGTTGATGGCTTTCAAGAACCTCACATGCTATAATCTTTGCTCATTTATTTAAGAGTATAAACTCCATGTTAAGTGGGCCAGTACTATTCTTTCCCTTATGTCAAAAAAATTGTCCCTGATACCACCATTAACCTGTTGGTAGTAACTATTGTTCAATTTCTATAGCTGAAATTACCAGTCAAATCCATAACCTTAAATACTAGCATTATTTTAATAAAATAAATTAAGCTTTTAACTTCAGCAAATCAGAAATAAAATAATATCACCTTGAAATGTGAAAAGAAAACAAAGGTAAAATAATTTGAAAACAAAAATAGTGATAAACTTAAGAACTGGTTCTTTATGCAGAATGATAATATTTAGAAAGAATTTGCAAAATTCAACAAATATTCCTTGTTTGAAAATATGCGCAGAAAAGTAGGAAAAGGAAAATACATTCTTTCCAAATTTATCTGAAATAGCATCATGCCTAGTTAGTGGTGAATCAGGTGGTCGGGTTCCAGACTAGTTTAACTATTCAGTGTTGTTCCAGACTTTCTTGTCAATATAATAATATGTAAGAGAAATCAAAAGTATCACTTTTTAAAAAGGAGTGAAATTATTTTTATTAACAGAGTTGCTTAAATATTACATACTAGGGGGCTAATCAAAAATTTTTTAAATTAATAAGATTTAGTATAATAAAAAAAAAAAAAACAATGGCTTCATACCACCAACAACCAATTAAAGCGTAGTAGCAGAAGGAAAAAAGTATCCTACACACAAAAGCAACAGGATATAAAATAACAACGCCAGCAAGATATTTATGAAATTATTATGGAAAAATATAAAACAATTGAGATATATAAATGAATGAGTAAATAGGGAAGGAGAACATTAAAGCTAGATAAATTCTTCACCAGTTAAATTTATTTGTCTAGCCTCATCTCAATCAAAATCACAAAAGAAATGGTTTTGGATCTTGGCAAAAATGTTTGAAGGCTCATATGGAAGCATAAATAGGTGTGAATAGGTGAAGAAAAAGTTATGGGCAGGGATTTCTTACATGAACCTCTATTAAACCATATTCAAATTTATAATTTTTATGATGACTTTTACACAAGAATGCAATGCCAAGAAAGAGACCCTAGCAAATAAAACAAAAGTGTCTAACAAAAGCCACGTAGTAAGATATATCCTGTAGCAATTGTGTTGGCAAAAGTGGCAGAATGGAAAAACAAAACTTCTAATTACTAGAGTATGAAATAGAAAAGCTTAGCAGTCTCCTAAGTACAGAATCTCCTAAATTTTCACAATTAATAATATTTTTAAAAAGAGAAATACACTGAAAGTATAATTGAGTGATATCCTGATGCTGGAGACTGTGAGGAATAGACATACAATCAAAGATTAGCTCTTTGATTATATGTCCACTAACTCAGAACACAGAATCCACATGGAAAGTTAGGTGATCATCTATCCAAGAGATAGTTTGCAAAGCATAGTTTTAGGTTCCATACCTAAAGCCACCTTTCCCCTCTATCAACTTCCCCCCAAAACACATATAAAATTATTCATTCATTCATTTATCATTTCTCCAGCATTATACTGGGCATTAGAGATGCATAGAGCTGTGAGATAAATAGACCTGGTCACTGCTCCTGTTGTGATAGAGTCTTCTGAGGAGATAAAAAATATATTTCAAAACAAATGCACTATTTTATTATAAAGAAAAAATATAGAAAATTTTTGAAAGTTTATAGGGGTGGAAATTCTGGACTGTTAATTAGATCTTAACAGAGGATGTGAAATTTAAATTGAAATATATGTAGCACAGATACTAGAAAGGAAAAGGATGCATTTTAGGCAAAAGATTGTGCAGGCTAAGTTCCAGAAGCAAGAAGGAATGTGGTTGTTGAAAAAAGTAAAAACAGTGGGGCTGTACCATACTGAGTGAAGAGACTGGTATGAAAACAGTTGAAAAAATAGGAGAATCCAGATAAGGTGGGACCCTGTAAGCTAGACAAAAAATTAGTTTGTCTTTGTACTTAAAATAATGGAAGAACTTTGAAGAGTTTTAAACAGGTCCATGGAAGAAAGAAGATTGCTATTTGTAAAAATATATTTTAAGCAGTGGCTCATGCCTGTAATCCCAGAAACTTGGGAGGCTGAGACAGGATGATTGCAAGTTCAAAGCTAACTTCAGCAACTAATTGAGGCCCTAAGCAATTTAGTGAGACCTTGGCTAAAAATAAAAAAATGAAAAGGGCTAAAGGATGTGGCTCAGTGGTTAAGCACCCTGGGTTCAATCCCCTGGTACCAAATATATATATATATTTTTTTTTCTCACACACACACACACATACACACACACACACACACACATACACACACTGCAATGAAGGCAATATAAAAACACACAAGGGAAAATAGGCCATTCCAGCAGTTCAAGCAAGAGAAAATAGTAAATTGGGCTAGGAAAGTGGCAATGATGAAAGAAAGAAGGTGAAGAAATCAAGATAAATTTTGGTATAAAATTGACAGAAAATAATTATGGGTTGAGCATTTAGGGTAAGGAGAGTCAAGTGATTTTATCATTAATGAGTCACATTTCTGGCTTATATGTGTGGTTGAAAAATTATACAATTTGGACCTGTGGATCCCAGATCTGAAACAGGATGAGTAGGGAAAAATTAATGTTTGATGTCTCACTATGAATCTTAACAGAAAACATGTGGAACCCTCAAACTGGATATCAAAGGGAGAATTAATAAATGGACAAACTACAAGATATAAGAGGCATTTAAAAACCAACAAGTCAGGGGCTTGGGTTGTGGCTCAGTGGTAGAGTGCTCGCCTAGCACATGCGAGGCACTGTGTTTGATCCTCAGCACCACATATAAATAAAGAAATAAAATAAAGGTATTGTGTCCAACTACAAATAAAAAATTATTTTAAAAAACCCATCAAATCTCAGTGATCTCACTAGGAAAAGCAACACTTGTGAACTCTCATGACCTTTAGCCTTGAAAATGCAAGAAGAAAGAATAATTCCCACAACCTAGAACCATCTGTAGGTGAGGACTTTCCCTGGCAGGACCTGTGGCCTTTGTTAAAGAGCACAGCCGTCTTGCTATCTAGTCTTCTGATTTTTCACATTAGCCAAACTTAACTAAAAGTCAGAGGGACCAAAGTGCATTGTCTCAGTACTCATAGGTCAGCCTTCTGGACAAAAGCAGAAATGGATTAATGAAGAGTGACTCTGTAGAATTACGCAAAGAATGTCCACCATATCCCACTCCTTTTGTTCCTCAGCATCTACTCATTTCTTATCTGTATACAATATTCATATTTCTAATACAGGGAACACACAGGTTTCCACTGACTACCATCTGTTATGGTTTGAATGTGAGGTGTCCCCCAAAGCTCATGTGTAAGACAATGCAAGACATTTAGAGGAGAAATGATCAGGTTATGAAAGCCTTAACCATATCAGTGAATTAATCTCCTGATGGGATTAGCTGAGTAGTAACTGAGGGTGGGGAGGGCATGCCTGAAGGAGTGGGTCCTTGGAGGTGTGCCTTTGGGGTACATATTTTGTATCTGGCAAGTGGAATCTATCTCTGCTTCTTGATTATCGTGTGATATCCACTTCCCTCTGCTACCCTCTCTCAACATGATGTTAGACCTTACCTTGAGTCCCAAAGATTGGAGCCAGCTGTCTATGGATCAAGACCTCTGAAACCAAGAGCCCCCAAATAGATTCTTCTTCCTCTGCAATTGTTACGGTAAGGTCTTTTAGTCACAGACACAGCAGCAAAAAAAAAAAAAAAAAAAAAAAAAAAAAAAAAAAAAAAAAAAAAAAAAAAAAAAAAAAAAAAAAAAAAAAAAAAAAAAAAAAAAAAAAAAANAAAAAAAAAAAAAAAAAAAAAAAAAAAAAAAAAAAAAAAAAAAAAAAAAAAAAAAAAAAAAAAAAAAAAAAAAAACTGACTAAATACCATCTAATTTGGAAACACACAGATTTGCCCTGGCTGCCATCTAATTGCAGAGTTCTGTCAATTCTATATCTCCACATAAAACTAAAACGTCAGTTACCATTATTACTCTTTATGTAAGGTTCTTTCACAGCCAGGTTCTCATCTTTCTTTTCCCTCTCCAACATTTTGTGTCCAACTACAAATAACATTATATCCCCATGAAATTTTGGCTGGATGAGCTTTCTTTTATCTAGTGAAATTATCAAAACCTGTATCACTGCATTATCTGAGGTTTTTATGGCCCTTGATTTGATACTTTTCATTGACTATAGGTATTTGGCAAGGGAGTAAAAGACGTATTTCAACAAATCCTTTGGGTTTCAACAATAGTCCTCTTTGGTTTCAATGTTCCCCTTTATAATCAGAATCATTCACCCCAGCCAGTACAGTGATTCTTTTTCCTGCCTATTTGTGGGGAACCCCAAATAGCTAAAGATCAGCTTTAGCTTTCAGTTTAATGGAAGCATGGTTCTGCTTTTCAAAAATATATATATTTATTTATTTTTATGTGATGCTGAGGATTGAATCCAGTGCCTCACATGTGAGAGGTAAGCGCTTTACTACTGAGCTATAACCCAAGCCCTGTGACTCTGCTTCTTGATTGAAGTGTTCTATCCTTAAGCAATAGG